GGACCAGGTCAGGTGAGAGGGACCAGGTCAGGTGAGAGGGACCAGGTCAGGTAAAAGGGACCAGGTCAGGTGAGAGGAACCAGGTCAGGTGAGAGGGACCATGAGACCTCTTTCAGCGCTCGGCTGCAGCTGCTCTGAAGTTCTTCAGCTGCTTTCAGCCTCATTTATTCGGTCTCTGTGTCTCCTCGCCCGGTTTCCCTCATCTTCTTCCTCTTCTACAGCAGCGAAGCCACGAGGCATGCAGATGTGCCGCCTAATCAGGTTCTCTTATCTTCTGGTGGTTCTGCGTCTTTCCAACCGAGCCGGGTCCAGGATCCTGTGAAGCACGGCTAATCTCCCACACAAACAACAACAGGGCAGTTATTTTTATGGAGCTGCAGCAGAAAGAGAGGGCAGCTATATGTCACGACCTGCAGACGCAGGGGAAGACACGAGGGTGGAGGAGGGAACAGACGTCTCCCTGTCCTCTAAAGGACGTTTTGTTGGGTCCAGTAAAAGCAGCACTAAAAGCTGCAAATATAAAAATTAATTTGTTCTGTTTCCTTGTTTTATTCTGCTTTCGTAAAATAAATGAGTCTTGGACCTAAGAGAGCAGTTCTGTGCAGCTGTTTAACAAGATTTGGTCCTAATAAACCAATTATGGAGGAAACCTTCACTTCAGGTCAGCACTTTCTCCACATCATCACCCACGAGTTTCCTCCTCCTCATATTTTAAGAATTGGAGCCAAAATATCTGAATTGTATGTTTTGAAGCAGCCATGTTGTTTTGTAGGAGCCAGTCACTCAAAATGTGGCGTTTGATAAAAAGTCCGGCCTGCTGACCCTTTTAACTGGTTAAAAGTCTGTCAATCACAGGAAACGCCACGATCTAAAAAAATATCTAATATTTAACTAAAATGAGTTAAAGTATTTTGTACATTTGAACAAACATGAGCAAGTTAAGAGTTAGCAAGTTACAAAACGTCTGTATGGTTTCTGGAGATTGTTTAAGTTGAAGTTTTTAAGTAAAATTAGAAACATCTGATCTAAAAATGATGCAGAAAAACTGGTCCATGCATTTGTCACGTCTAGACTTGACTATTGCAATGGTTTATTATCTGGGTGTCCAAATACTTCTTTAAAACGTCTTCAGTTGATCCAAAATGCTGCTGCCAGAGTCTTAACTGGAGTTACTGGGAGAGATCTTAGTTTCTCTCCACTGGCTCATTGTCAAGTCCAGAATAGAATTCAAAATCTTGTGTCTAACCTACAAAGCTCTCAACAACCTAGCTCCATCTTATGAGATCTTATTGTTCCATATTTTCCTAACAGATCACTTCTCTCTCAGACTGCAGGTTTACACGTGGTTCCTACAGTTTCCAAAAGCAGAACGGGAGGAAGATCTTCCAGTTCTCAGGCTCCTCTCTTGTGGAACCAGTTTCTGTCCGTGAGGCTGACACATTGTCCAGTTTGAAGACTGGGATTAAGACTTTCCTTTTTGATAAATCCTATAGTTAGGGTCGGCTTGGGTTTCCTGAGCACAAATACCAGATGATGAGATACCACTCCAAATGTTGAGTGGCATCCAGGCCTTTATGTCCTCATGACACAGAAGAGGTTGCTTGATAGAGTCACATCTTACTTTATGAGAGGAACATAAACTCACCTGTCATCTGCATAACACTGGAAGAAAACCACACATTGTCTGAGCATGGATCTAAGTGGAAACAGATAGAGAACAATAGAGGACGTAAAACTGAGCCTTGAGGGATTCCACAAGAAAGAGAGGAGGACAATGATAGATTAAACACAGACAGTTTGGTTTTTCTAATGAAGCTTGAACCATTCCAGAGCAAAGCCCTTGACCCACCGCTCCTAACGAGACAGCAGACTCTAATCCCTCCTCATGTGCTCATCAGTCCCAGCTGTTTCCACCCGTAGTTTCTTATGTCTTTGTTTTGTTGTCCCCCGTTGCAGAGCGAAAAAGAGGAACGACCCTCCGTCTGTTCTCCTCTGTTGTCTGCATAACTTGAAACACGTTCAACTTCCATTTATGTGTGTGACTGCATCTAGGTGCAAGAACGGTTCCTTTTGAAAAATTCGGTGGCCACATCAAAATCCAAGATGGCCACCACCATATAGACATGCAAACCGACCACCCCAATCATTTGAGGAAACTTTCTAGTTTTTATATTGCTTAAAAGTAAAGTTTCCTCAAATGATCGGGGTGTCCAAAGACTAATTTATGAGGGCCAAGGCCACCATTGGCCACTCCCTGGCGCCTCCATTGCACCTGATGGATAAAATTGTTCCCTCCACTCGTCAGGATCATCACTCTGCACTGCCTTTGACAAGGAAACAACAACAACAACAACAAAACCGCCCTCTGTATTCTCCAGAGTAACTCCTCCCCACTTGAACATGTTGATTCAGAAACATTTCGGTTTACGTTCATTCACTGTTCAACTCCAATCCAGAAAAACACTCGTCTCCAAATCTACAAACATTCACTATTCAAACCCGCCAGAGACGGCGGGGACACCGGCGCACCTCATGTTTGTCTTTTCTCTGTGCTCCTTGTTGTTCTGTTGTTGTTTATCTGCTGCCTCCGCAGATTTGTTTGTAAACAAACAGAATATCTTCTTCCTGTCCAGATGATCTTGACGTCATCAGATTAAACTTTTTAATTCTGAATTATTTTGTCAGACTGACCTGGAATATTTAACTGAACTCTTTCTGTTCACAAAACTGAACTTTGTGTTTTTTCCTCTCAAGTTGTCTTCAAGTTTAAAAGTGTTATTTTGTCCTGATAGATGGTTTTTAGTCTTTTATTTTAAATTTTATTCACATATTTGAATAAAACTGAACTCTGCTCAAAGCCACTTTTTCTGTTTTACTTCTGAAAGTTTATTTTGGGGCCAAAAACAAAAAAAAAGGGGGCCACAAGTGGCTCCAGAACCACAGGTTGTAGACCGTTTCTTTCATTTTATTTATGTTTTGTTTTATTTGTTCTGTGAACTTTATTGGAGCAGGTTTGATCCAAAAGTCTTTCATGAAGCCTAAAGGTTTTGCAGGTTCCGGCCCGGCTCCTGGTTCTGCAGCCTCTGGGGTCAGGTCTGCAGGTTGACCCGAGGACCTCCTGCCCTTCAGAACCAAACCGGACTGCAGTGGTTCCCAGATGTCCCCCCAGGAGGACCAGAAGGATCATCTGGACACACAGAGGTTCTGTTCGAACCAGGGAGGAGGCCTCTGGTCCGGAACCGCAGGAGTGAAACTACTTGTTCAGAAGGATCCTGCTCGCCGGTTCTGGTTCTGGTTCTGCTGCTCCGGGTTCGGATGGGGGGGGTGGGCTCTTCCTCCTCCTCCGGCTCGTGCACGGTGACGTCACGCAGGGTGGTCCTGCAGCTTATTAGGCCCGGGAGCTCAGATCCAGGTTCCAGCTGGGAGGCGGAGCGGGTTCTCCGGACTTCAGCAGACCGAACTCCGTCTCGCTCCTGGTTCCGTCGAACTTTATCTAAACCCAGAAGCTCCTCATCCTCCCCGGGTTCTGGCTGATCCGGAACAAGTTCCTCTGAACCTGTAGAACTTTTCTTTTGGGTTAAAGTTCTGTAGAACCTTGTGAGGCTCGTCATGGTTCTGCTGTCTTTGGTTCTGCTGCTTCTAGGACCCGTTTGGACCTGCGCTGAGGAGGTAAGACTTCTACCAGAACCTTTGGGTCCACTGGAAGTTTTTTACGCAGAAAGTTGGATGAAGTGAACGCAGCCTGTCAGCACGCGCACGCTGCTTCCTGTGCGCGCGACACGTTGTCTCCTGTCACACACACGCGCGCTTCAGTCCAGTTGTGCAGAACCGAGCCGGGCTCTAACCCGTTTTCTTCCTTCTGTTCCAGGCCTCTGCAGGAGCAGACAGACAGGGTGAGTCCTGGTTCTGATCCAAAGGCTGGGCAAACAGAACCTCTGAGGACAGACAGTAACACACGCACACACACGCACACGTGCTTGAGGGGCTTTGTTCTGATCGAGACAGAACCCTGAACATCTGTTCTCCATTCAGAGGTGAAGGAGGGACAGAGCTGCAGAACCATGGAGGAACGGGTCACGTTCTCCGGTCTCTTCTGAAATGTTCCACTCAGGATCATCGGGCTCTCGCACAGCCCTACAACCAGATTATCAGCCAGTGGTGCAGTGGTTAGAGCTGTCGCCTCACAGTGAGATGGTGGCAGGTTTGCCTCCCACCTGGAGACTTTCTAGGTGGAGTGTGCGTGTCCTACCTGTGCACACACGTGTCTTGTGCTTTCTCCCACGGACCAAAACATGGATGGATGGATGGATGTTTGTTTGGTTGGTTGGATAGATGGATGTTTGGATGGATGTTTGGTTGGATGGATGATAGATGGATTCAATTGGCTGAATGGATGGATGTTTGGTTCAATGGATGGGTGGATGTTTGGATGGATGGATGGATGGATGGATGATTGAAGAATGGATGTTTGGTTTGGATGGATGTTTGGATGGATGGATGGATGGATGATTGAAGAATGGATGTTTGGTTTGGATGGATGTTTGGATGGATGATTGAAGAATGGATGTTTGGTTTGGATGGATGTTTAGATGGATGATTGAAGAATGGATGTTTGGTTTGGATATTTGGTTGGGTGGATGATTGGTGGGTTTGATTGGATGAATGGATGCTTGGTTGGTTGGATGTTTGGTTGGATGGATGTTTGTTTGGATGGATGGATGGATGGTTGGATGATTGGACATTTATATGGATGGTTAGTTGTTTGGTTGGATGGATATTCATATGGATGGATGGAAGAAAGATGGGTTTGATTTGATGGATGGATGTTTGGTTGGATGGATGGTTGATATATATGGATGGATGGGTTTGATTAGATGGATGGTTGGTTGGATGGATGCTTGTTTTGATGGATGGATGTTTGGATATTTATATGGATTTATACAGATGGATGTTTGGTTGGATGGTTGGTTTGATATTTACTGTATATGGATGGTTGGATGTTTGTTTGGATGGATGATGTGAACTCATCATCCAACGACAGAGCTAACATCTATCTGCTTCTAACGTTTTCATGTTCTGTAAGTCGCCTTTAAAAATCTGATGGACTTCCTGGACTCAATCCAGGACCCTCCTGAGGGTTCTGACCCGGGTGGAGGGGCCCCCCTCCTTCCAGGTCCTGTAGAAAACCTGAAGTGGTTCTGGTCTCAGGCAAACCTTCAGACTTTAAAGACGAGGAGCAGAGAGCTGCAGCAGAGTTCAGCTCAGAGTCCTTCAGATTAAATTTTCCTAATTTGAAGAATCTAAAATTATAATCTGCAGCAGAGCAGCACGATGTTTACAATCCCAGACAGACGCTGGACCACTACACCGAAACCCTAAATGTTTTTATGAACGCCAACCTTTATGTCTGAACCAGTCTGGAAAAAAGAAGGAAGCGTGGACGAGTGATTTGCCAAGTTCTTCTCCTCCGACATTTTACTGACACCAGTTTTCCGTACGGTAAACCAACCTGCACCTCCTGCAGCAGGAGACGTAGTTGTTGCTGAGTGTTGCGCAGCAAAAAGTCCAAACCGATGAACTGAAGGCAGTTCTAGTTGCTCCTGAGCTTTTCTTCCTGTAAAGGTTCAGTCCCAGTTTCTTTAGGACAACTCTGTTGCTGAAGTTGCATCACTCTTGTGAAAGAGGACACGGTCACGTTCAGTGAAGCAACGAAGCAGCGTTCAGAGAACACACTCGTGCTGCTTCAGACCTCAGACTTCAGTCTCTGTGATGCAGGTCCCCCCCCCGGCTGTGACTTAGTCCTCAGACGTGTCATTTGTTTCCCTGGGGATGCCTGTTTGACACAAAGATAATGACAGGCCTTTAAATGCACTTACCGCTGCAGGAGAAACGGACCGAGGCTGGATGATGGAAGTGTCTTTTTGAAAGACGTTTCCAGTGGTGCAGTCTACGTGATACGCTGGTATACGGAGTATACCCACTAGAAAAGCTTGGGAATTTCTGTATACCCACTTAAAAGTGCCCAATAATATGTGACGTATCATTGGGCACGTGTCATTGATACTTTAAATGGCAGTTGAGCTCTTCCGTTACAGTCTGTCTGTACGCAGCGCTTGTTTATCACAATCACTTACAAGGACCAGCGCAAACTCTTTGCTCCTCTCCGCTGCTCTGTTTGAAACGTGGAGCTCGGGTCAGCCGGGGAACAGGATAAAGACCCATAACCCCACCTGCTCACACCCTTCAGCTGCTGTTGGGTTCCCTGCTGCAGGTTCAATGGATGTTAGCGTCATGTTTTATTGTAGATTAATTTAAATGCAGTCTACATGACTTAAACAGCTGAAAGGGGTTCTGTCCAGCTCCTGGGTGACATAACATTATCACCCTTTTGTGTTTGGTGGTGGACAATAAAACTCCTGATGTTACAACGTTTGACTTCGTGTCCTACAGATCCGCTGCGGACCCGTCTAAAGGAGTATGGTCTGGTCACGCCCTTCAGCACGGACGCTCACGGACACTTCCTGTCCCACCTGCTGTCAGCCACTCACAAGCGACGGGTCAGGAGGGAGGTGTTTCCTTCCGCTGAATCGGACCAGAACATTTTTTTCAACATTTCCGCCTTTGGAAAGGAGTTCCACCTTCGTCTGCGACCCAACACCCGGCTAGTGGCACCTGGGGCGGTGGTGGAGTGGCACGATGAGGTCCAAGGTTTTGGAAACATCAGTGGGAATAATTCCAGTCCAGAAACCAACGTGACCGATGGGAGTGAGGAGATCCTGCGCCGAGAGCTGCTGAAGACGGACTGCACCTTTATCGGGGACATCACAGACGTGCCCGGGGCCTCGGTTGCCATTAACAACTGTGACGGGCTGGTAAGTCTTTCTTAGACCCCCCTTCTCCAAAAGCTAAGATCCATGACCTTCTGAAGTGATGACATCTTAAGTTAGACATCTTAAATTTAGCCTTTCTTTACGTCAGAGTTTTCATGGTACGTTGTGTTACTCAGGACCAGGTTTAATGGGTCACTGCTCAACTGTTTCTCCCCCCATCATAAAACATCACTCCCTTTGTGCTCCTTCCTGGCCTCCTCATAAAACACTTGACTGAAAACTGGGGAGTGACTCAGGAGGACCAAATCTTTTGAGGTGATTTGGGAGGGGGTGTTGACCATAAATCAGCATCTCAAACCCAAATTCCTGGAGTAGTTTAAAAAAAAATGGGACAAATGACGTCATCAGAGTCTGATAAAAAACACAAAACTGCATAAATACATTTTTTGTTGCTGGAACTGGACTGTCTTGGTTTATGGTGTAATCGTATGGCTCAGCCACAGTTTAATTCATTCCTGGATATGAGGATCATAGTTCAGTTTGGACCTTTTGTACGAGGGTCATGGTTCTGCTTCTACCTGGTTTTGAGATTCACGGTTCAGTTTGTACCTGGGTATGAGGATCAAAGTTCAGTTAGTACCTTTGAACGAGGGTCAAGTTTCTGTTTCTACTTGGGTATGAGGCTCATGATTCAGTTTCTACCTTGGTATTAGGGTCATGCTTCAGTTTACATCTTTATATGAGGGTCACGGTTCAGCTCGTACCTGGCTATGACAGTCACAGTTTAGTTTGTACCTGGGTATGAGGTTCATGGTTCAGTTTGTACCGGGGTATGAGGGTCATGATTCAATTTGTGCCTGGGTATGATGGTCGCAGTTTAGTTTGTACTCGAGTATGATGTCACGGCTCAGTTCGGACCTGGGTATGAGGGTCACAGTTTAGTTTGTACCTGGGTGTGATGGTCATTGTTCAATTTGTACCTGTGCATAAGGGTCATGGTTCAGTTAGTACCTCGGTATAAAGGTCACAGTTCACTTCATGCCTGGGTATAAGGGTCACGGTTCAGTTAGTACCTGGGTATGAGGATCATGATTCAATTTGTACCTGGGTATGAGGGCCATGATTCAGTTTGTACCTGGGAAAGATGGTCGCAGTTTAGTTAATACCTGGGTATGGGGATCACAGCTCAGTTTGTACCTGGGTATGAGGGTTACGGTTCAGTTTGTACCTTTTGTATGAGTGTCACAGTTCACTTTGTACCTGGTTATGACTGTCATGGTTCAGTTCATATCCAGTTATGAGAGTCTTGGTTCAGTTCATACCTGGTTATGAGGGTCATGGTTCAATTTGTACCTGTGTATTAGGGTCACCGTTCAGAATGTACCTGTTTTCCAGAGATGGCTAATGTAAAGTTTAAATTTAGGTTTGTTTTCTGTGTGTTTTTGGTATTAAATTCAAACGAAAAATAAAAAAAGTTTGTTTGATGGTGAGATCATTGCTTGGTTTTATTCTGTTCATAATTTGACTGATTAGTTTAACAGTTTCATGTAATTTTTATTTCTTGGTTTTATTGGTTGTTGACAGAAGTTTGTTACCCAGAATGAAAGAATAAAATGAAATCAGCTGAAGTCTGGGGAGTTTAGAGGAAATGACAAGTGAGAGGAGTGTAAGTCCGGATCGGACCATCAGTAAATCAGTGGTTCTGACTGATGAGGACCAGGTGGTGGTCTTTGATCTCAGGTTGGAGCCGCCTCCTGCATCAGGTGTGTGTTTTACTGCCTCCTGGTAATTACAGTCAGGCTGCTGTCTGGAAGGCTTCACAGCAGCTCCACCGGCAGCTAAATGCTTCTCAGGCAGATCCAGTGAGGGAGGTCGGTGTTATGTTACTCGTATGTCAGTGAAACAGTGTTAAACACTTGATGACCGCCAAGTTCTTTGTGAGATGTTCCTCAGACTGCCTGGTTCTGTGTGCGATGTTCCTCAGACCACCTGGTTGTGTGTGAGATGTTCCTCTGACCGCCTGGTTGTGTGTGAGATGTTCTTCAGACCGCCTGGTTGTGTGTGAGATGTTCCTCTGACCGCCTGGTTGTGTGTGAGATGTTCTTCAGACCGCCTGGTTGTGTGTGCGATGTTCCTCAGACCGCCTGGTTGTGTGTGAGATGTTCCTCAGACCTCCTGGTTCTGTGTGCAATGTTCCTCAGACCACCTGGTTGTGTGTGAGATGTTCCTCAGACCGCCTGGTTGTGTGTG